TGTTTCTTCCATCTCGATCAAGAAGGTACCTTTTCCAAGGACGACATTATCAAATGAACCGAATCGAGTAAAGATTTGATGAACAAGTCCCAATTTGGCTTTCTCGGCAGGAACAAAACTTCCTGCTTGAGCCAAGATGTGGATGATCGCTAGTTGTCGTAGATAAGTTGACTAGGCGATAATATAGTTTGTTTCGTGATTTGAGGCGTACATTTGAAAGAAGAATAATTATGATTTTAGTTTCGCTACCAAATGGGTAACAAAGAGAAACCCGGGGTCTAGCGAGTTGAAGATACACTCAATCCGAACTTGATCCATACCTTTCCCCCATTGTTTGGGCCAGTAATAATTTGAACAAGGCCGTCGTTATCATGCATCACGGTAGAATTGGAGATGAAGTTCCCATGAGCTCTAGAAGAAAGAGCACGCTCAGCAATTGGGTGACGACCGTTAACGATGGCTGTGCTTCTCCTGCTTGTAAAAAGATTATTGTTTTCAGGTGCGGATCGGTAGTGGTGACGGCGGGCGGTTCTTACTTCGAATTGATTGATGGTTTTACACATTTTGTGTCTACTGCAAACGTCGCAAAGCTTTGAGCGACATCCAACTCGGCAAGGTCCTGGAACGATGGGCTCAAAGCGGCATGGTCTGATGCAATCTAAGAATGCGTAATTGTTGAACGTCCTTGTCGGAGGATAGAGGCAATTATGTCATGAGCGGATCGTATGATTCGCGAAGTAATCACCTGCTCAAAAAGCCCTTTCAAGACCCGCTGTTCCGCCTGAACCAATTGTTGCCTCAGTCTTTCGATGGAAGCATGCATCTTCGTCCATTCCTGGGGTTATGCGAAGAGATTATAGACCATTGAGTTAGTAACCGTACGTTCCGGGTCTTGTTTTTCTTTCTTAACTCACCGGAATGGCCACCACAGCACGGGATCCGTTATCAATAAGTGTTTGCCCCTTGAGCTTGTCCAACTTGCTCCTCAACTCGTTGCTCGGCTTTCGGGCTTTGTTAATACTAAGCACAGCACCGAGCTTAGGAACGACTTGCAACTTTAAATCCTTGGAATCTGAATGTGCAGTATTTGAGGAAGCATCAGTCAGTCGGGTTTAGATCGGAGGAAAGTAGGTCAGCTGGAGAATGCTTGTGAACTCTTTCGTAATACGCGTAGAGATTTACCGAAATCAGTCCGATATTTGGCTTGAAGCTCTTTTCCTTTTGCCATCGCAGCTTTTAACTTTTGGTGCACAGATTCCAACTCTGGGTTAAGGCTTAATGAAGTGGTTTAGTCAGTGGCTCCTGGTAGTCTCAAATCCAAGCTGAACGTGCCCTACTTAAAGCGTACGTTCCAGACAACTGGAGAAAAGAAATCTTTGGCTTCCTCAATCGAGAGTTCTTCCGATGCCGTCTGACTGCGAGGTTGATTCAAGTCCCCTATGACATCTGCTATAAGTTCTTCAAGTGCCAAGTGACATGAGAATCGAGATGGAATATCTAAACCACTGAGAGTTAAACTGATTGCTTTGATAGCCTTCAAGATTCTGAGGATTGATACCAAATCCTGAATAGTTCCTTGCCCGAGATTGAATCTTTGTAATAGCCTAACATAATCAATTTCTTCGATATCTTTCAAGGTATCTTGTATGTCTTCTCTTGAAATGTGATTTACAACTAGCTTTTCTACCAAATCTAATCTGGATTGAATGACGGCTGGAACCCTACTTGGACTTACTGCTTTGTAACAAATCCAGGTAAAAAGACAGGTCAACATCGAGATTTGTAGCAGCGTAATGTATGCGAAAGTATGCAGCTAAAAGTATGCGACTGATCCATTGTAACTCAACTGATTCGATCGCGTAACAGTCTCTTTCCAGGTCGAGTGAGCGTCCTTGAAATAGTCGATAGTAAACTGCCAGCCGTACTCTTGCCGTTTTGCGTGCGGATGATCTCTAAGCTATCAATAGCCTCCGCATCCAGTGTCAGATACCGGGCAGCATCGACGCATAATGGTTGAGTAGCCGCTCGCAAAGGCAGGAGGTTTCGCTTGATATATATTCCGATTAATTTTTCCGCTGTCAAATCTTCGGGGGGAGAGATTGACTACAGGGTGGAAGGGAGAAAAATGAAAAAAGAGAAAACGTCAGGTGGCTCTTCAAGTCATTGTGATCGATTGAAATGGCTGAATAAAAGAATGATACATTATCTGGATTTTTGATTTTTGTGACCAGTATTGAGAGCTTGGCAGCCTTGGAATCAGAAGGAATGTGAAACGAGCTGTCGGCTGATGTTATGATTTCCTTGGGAGAGATCCGACATATCTCATCCATTAATTCACTTTTTCCGCCCTTGCAGGTCGTATGAAAGTAACTACCCGTAGATACGTCCAGCCAAGCCAATTGATTTTTGTGAATGCTTAGTAGATAATTATGCGACTCCTCATCAATTAAGGTTTCATCGGTAATTGTACCAGGTGTAATGATGCGAACGATCCTTCTTTCGAGGTCTTCATCAGTTGGAATTTGTTCTGCAATCGCAACGACCCGATTGTGTTCATTGACTAAAGTTTTGAGATGTTTTTGGAGGGATGAAGTGGGAAATCCCGAGAAGGGATAAGCTTGTCCAGAAAACTGATATTTGGCTTGCTTTATGTTCAGAAGTTCTGCCACTTCTGTAGCTTGATCGAAGTAGGCCTACATTGCGTGACAAATTAACATATCGATCAGAAATAAGTTTGGTCTTGAGATAAACTATGTTGGGGTCATCAAGACTATACGTTAAAAGAAACTTGGGGAGGGCTACTTCATAAAATGATCCAACGCATGTTAGCAAGATTGCATCGGGAAATCTGAGGCGACTGTCTAGAATAAATTTTGGAATCTTCTTTGTGTAGAGTGATGGGTTTCGAGAAGGCGGAGTACCGACGGTAACAAATTTATCAAATTTGCTCAAATCAGCATCCATTGTTATCACGACTTTCTCTGCAAAGAACGAAGAGAAGAATGGGACATCTGTAAACTCCGCTGCTTACTTTGATCAGCAACAACAAAATGGCACGTACCCTTATTTCCCACTTTCGTAGGGATCGGCAAAGGGTCCAGGGTCTTGGAAGATTCGGCTTTGGCAACTGAAGGGGCTTGGCTTGTTGTTTCTGAAGGTGAAGTGTTGGCCTTTCAGAATTAAAAAAGAAAGAAAGAGAGAAATGAAATCAGCCGAAACTTCTTATTGGTAGAAGATTTTGCCGATTATTAAAAGAGAAAAGGGATGATATTTCAATAAGAGCCTTTGAAATAGATGGACCGACGTGAGGTTGTCAGGTTTTTTACACAATTATTCCCTCTCATGAAAATAGAATCAGAAGATCAATTGTTGGGAGTTTGAAGCAGAGAAGCAAGGAAGCCTTGCTTACCACATCCTTTGTACCCTGAGCTACTTTTTGCTGATTTGTAGTGGACGCGACTTTCCTGCAGGCATCTTGTCCATCAGTTGAATCTATTGAGGAGTTCGGTTCCGAACCTAATGCTTTGGTTTCTTGATCATTGGGTTTGACTTGCTCAGCTTTCGTTTTACTAGATTTTTCTTCTACGGTTTTCTGATTGCTGGATTTGACTTGCTCATTTTTAGCTTTACTGAGTTTGGCTACCTCGGTTTTCTGCTTATTGGGTTTGACCTCCTCGGATTTCTGTTTGGTAGGTTTGGCTTCCCCTTTTTGCTTTTGGCTGTTGTTGGTGTCTTCATTTTTCTGTTTTGCCGGTTTAACTTGCTCCGTTATTTGTTTCTTAGTCTTAAGCTCCTCGGGTTTTTTTGCGTCGCTTGCTTTAGTCTTCTTTGCCTTACTCGCTTTGGTTTTCGGTGCTTCCTTTGCGGATGGTTTCGTGATCTTTTGGAAAAAGTGGGTGCAGATCAGCTCCTTACAGCGTTTCAAGACGAAAGCAGAAAGTGACAAGACCCGTGCACCTGTTCGATAGTTCCAATGGACTTGGATTGCGTTTGTGATGTTTGTTTAGGTTCCTCGCTAGTGATCGTGGTTGTTGTTCTGATGGTCGAGTAGAGGGAACGAAGGTATGGTGGTTTTGTTGTGATTCGTCTTGATGAGTGTTGGGCAATGCGAGTCAAGAAAATGGTCGATGGCATCTTTCATGGTCTTCTGCGTCTGTCTTGACCAATATCCGAATGTCTGGCTGCATGCGCTACCGGGATCTGTGATCCAACTCTCCGCCCAACAGACCGGATTGCGTTTCCTCCGCAGTTAATTAATCTTTACCCTCGTGAACTCATCAACAATTCAGCGCACTGGATTCAAGCAGCTTCATCACGCCTAACATCTATTGAACAAGTGAAAAGGAAGGTTGTGCAGTGTGGGACTTGAACCCACAACCTCAGCATTCATGACACAATAGGCAAACTGCGGGCAGGTATCCAAAATCGCCTTCTGGTGGCTTGTGCTGCGCACGCGCGTGACGCGAACTTGGATTAGCTGGCACAGCTGTCTGTTAGGTCATAGGTAGGCAGTAACAGTGGGCCGCTAGGCTATGCTGCCTCACAGGCCAAGATAGTGTAGCTTAGTGGCTGTTTTTTTTTCGCCAACGCTGTAGCCTTAGCGGCACTACAGAGCCGCTACAGCGCTTGTAGCGGCTATTTTCCGCTACAAAGCGCTGTAGCGTAGCGCAACAAGGCCTTTTTTGGGGATCGTTCTGTTAGCGTTAGCGCAAAACTTCTAACGGCTACGAAAAAAGTTGTTAGCTGTTAGCGGTTTTAAGCTACACTACGCTATGCATAGCGTAGTCCACCATTGCTTCAAAAGACATGGATTTTTGAAAACCCAAAAATTAAATAATGGTAGATTTGGTCATATTTGATACCCCCTAATAGGGGGTGTCAAATATGATCAAATCCACCATTGAAACCAGTCAATTAGAATTTTCAACCAAATTCCACTTTTGGGGATTTTGATCTTCTTGACATGCATTTCCATGGTTTTTAAAATGGTGGATTTTTGAAAACCAGTTGATTAAATAATTGTGGATTTGGTCATATTTGATACCCCCTATTAGGGCGTATCAAATATGACCAAATCCACAATTATCTAATCAATGTTTTTCAACAAATCCACACTTCCAAAAACCGTTGATAAAATTTTCAAATGTGTATTTATTTTCCCCAATATGTATCAAGTATAACCATTAAAACCACATTGTATTGGCTGAAAACTATGGATTCCCACTTATCTCAGGCTTGGGTTCTAATAACCTTCCACAATTCAACCACATTGCCTCCCCCCATCCATAATTGAACCATATCTTCTCCCTTCTTTTTTTAATCACTTCAACAATTCAATACTATCCCCTCCTCCCTTCATTTTTCAATCACTTATTTTTTTTTAAACAAAAACATCTACATCCAAGAAAGCTCCCATGCCCAAGGAAGGAACCCCTCAACCCACAAAATAGAGCAATAAGAAGCCAGCCATCCGAAGAAAGTTCAAGAAAAACAAAGGTAACAATTCATCTGAAGATGATGCTGCTGATAAAACAGCAGGTCACTTGAAGAAAGAGGACTACCTGGTAATCATCAAATGGCTCAAGATCAAACGGAATTACAGAACAGGGAAGGCTCCTCCTGTTGGGCATCCATCAAAAGGTAAAATCAATGGCTTTGAGATGTGTTATGATCTTGTAAACCCCTATGGGACTTGCCACAGGTTTCCCCAACTGGGGGATTATATTGAGCCTCCGCACCTTTGTACATCCCCCAGTTAGCAATCTATTATCTCAATCACAACAAGATGATGGCTATCAATCTCCGCAATCAATCCCCCTCAAAGATCAACCTAACCCCCCGTCAGATGAAGGATTGATTCAATACCTACAAAGACAAGTACAAGAAAGTCCACACCAAATCCATATCCACAGGTTTT